ACGCTAGGTAAGTCCAATGAGTGAGCACGTAATACCTGTGTGACACATGTTCCAGTTAATGTGTTTTTCATCCAAACGTTTTTGTTCTGTTAGATAAAAATTATCTACTATTTTATTATTTTTATCAAAATAATTCAAAATAAAAATAATGAAAAAGGAAAACCTAAATGTGTTGGGAGTTGGGACTCATTTATGTTTTCTTTTTTTTATCGTTTTTTATTTTTAATTATTTTGACAAAGATAATAAAATAGTGGATAATTTCTGTCTAACCGAGCAAAAACATTTGGACGAAAAGCACATTAACTGGAACATGTGTCACATAACTATTACATTCTCACTCATTGTGCTTACCTAACGTGCTTACTAACCAGGGGAGTTAAAAAAGAACTAGAAATTTAAAACAAAATGCTTAAAGCCTAAATAACTAGAAAAGAGGTTTCTTGCAATGATGTTGCAGGACAATCGAGAGACCACCTAATGAAATGTCAACATGCCACCATTTTGAATCAAAACAGTTCAAGTGATCTTTGTTTTTTCTTCTAACCAGGGGCATGCTCACATTTTATGGTAACAAGATCCGGAGACCCTTTAGTATGTGTTTGGCATCGATGCTGTCAAAAAACGGTGCTGTATATGTATGGGTTGGAGCACCATTTTCTAAGAAAATTGTGTCTTTTTTTTTGTTTGGAAATGATGCTATCAAGTTGGATGTTTCCTGGGGCAACAACAATACCTTCTCTTTGGTACCAGTGCTCCATATCTGTTTTCAGTGCTAGTACCCATTATAGGAACTCCACATCATGTCCTCGTTGGAAGTAACAAGCTCTAAATTGAGAAAACGTCAAATTTGGCGTTTCCCCAAACCACACTTTCTCGATTTCCAATGTGTGGTTTGGAGCACCATTTTTTATAGAAAAACAGTTCCAAACATGTTACTATTTTCTAGAGCACCAATTTTTCCAACATGGCGCTAATGTTCATTGTTTTTTGGAGCAACGACATCGATGCCAAACACCGCATTAATAAAATGCAAATACGTCAATGTGTAAATGACTCCCCTATACTGTTGGGTCAGTGATAATTATCTCCTAAATTTCATTTGCAACAAAATACCTCTCCTGAACTTTCACTTTACAATAAATACCCCCTAGCCATTAAGGGGGTGTTTTGTAGTGTGAATGAGAAATTGGTGGGTGTGACCTAATCCACACCACACCCTGTGCCAGGGACCAATCCACACCACGGTCCACAACTGTTCTAAACTATGGACAAATTGTGTGGACTGGACCTGTCCACACCCACAGTGGCATTCTGTAGGTGTGGTGTGGATGGTCCACACCACACTTTTTGGCTCCATGTATCTCATATACATTTATGAATGATCTACACCAACATTTTAAAAACAGACCTAGAAATGGAACCGTTCTGATCACCGATTTTTGGGTTGACGGTCCGACCATCCGATTCGAATGGATGGACCGTTCTGACAAACAAATTAAAAAAATAAAAAAAATAGTTAAAAATAAAAATGGTAAATAATCGTTGAACGGGTCGACGAGTCGACAGTTCGATCGCTCGGGTAAACGGGTTGTTGACTTTTTCAACAGTTTTTGGCTAAAAACTAGGTTTGGGGTAAATGGAACCGCTTGCTTGGACGGTTCCCGAGCTGAACAATCCGACCGTCCAAGTCGACGGCGATTCGAAAACCTTGATCTATCAATGAATTAATATTAACCAATAAATATTACTTTTTCATAAAAATAGGAGTAAAATGATTAAAAATTTTAAAAATATATTTTAAATATTACTTTTATTGATAAAACATTAAAATTAAAAAAAATTAAAAAAATAAGTAAAATAATTAATATTTTATTAACAAAAATATTAAAATGTGAAACAAACCATCGGGTTTCAGTCTTTGAGGGAAAGTGTGAAGTAGGGGATCAAAAATCAAGTATGGACGGTCCCTAACCACGAGATTTTTCCGTGGATGAGAAATTGGGGTGTGGACATGATATAGCATGGACCGGTCCCGTCCACAGCCTGCATAACTGGTGTTCATCCTGTCCACAAGATGAAAACAAGGCTGAACACCGCCTAAGTTAGATGATGAAATACATTAAATAACCAAAATACCCATCTAAACTTTCGTTTTTTTTTTTCATTTCCTTGTCTATTTTCTTTTAAATCCTAATTGACCAAAAATACTTCGATTTTTTCTTCAAGTAAAACCAGCTAAAATAACAAGAGTGAGTCATTTCATTGACATAGAAAAAACAGGTTCTTTGAATTCCCGTTTCATTTCACTAACACAAATGTCACTCTTTGATTCACTAAAATATAAAAGTTATTCACAAATTTCTCCAATAAACCAAGAAAACAAACGAAACCTTAAAAAAAAATACATAACATCAACCTCATACTGTAGCCTGTGGGGTCCCATGCGACCATGGTCGTGTTGTGGGTTTGGTGTGCGGAGTCAATCCAAACTTCGGTCAAGGATAAAAATCAGGGAAAAACTGTTAAAGTTTTTTAGTAAAAAGAGAACACTTTCATTCATGACACAAGTTCACATCTCCACCCCACAATGGGCCACCCTACAACACATCCCCGCCATGTATTGGGAACATCTCATGATGATAATATTAGAACTGATGATGTCATCAGCGGGAGATATTTCCAATATATGGTGGAAATGTGTTGTGGGGCGTTGTGGGGTGGAGATGTGAAATCTCATGAAACAAAGGGAAACCGGGTACAATGCAACTAGAAGAAAACTAAAAACCTAAGATCATACAACCACCTACTATAGATACTAAAAAAGTAAAGAAAATGCTAAAAAAACACAGAAATTAAAGTCACGTTTGTTTGGGGTGGAAAATCGAATCGGAGTAAACTTTACATCCCAATTCGATTTTACACATGTTTGGAAAGAGTGTAATTTTACATCGTAAATCGGTGTAAAACTAACGCCTCTTTCTTGTCATTTTTTCTCTCGTTGGCATTGATGCATCTTTGTCAAACATCCAGAAGGAAAGCCCAGCAGTGATAGCGGCACTATGAGATTTCTCTCTCCTAGGGCGGCAGCAACAAAACCTAGCAGCGGCAGTATGCCCAGGGTAGATCTCAACCCAAAGCGGCAACGAGTCAGCGATAGGATGAGATTTCTCTCTCCCAGGGCGGCAGCGGCAATATGAGATCTCTCTCTCTCTCTCTCTCTCTCTCTCTCTCTCTCTTCTCTTTTT